CTTTCTTCTTTTTGTGTGGTTAAGAGGAAAAGCATGTATTTTTCATCGTTGTATTTTTAAAAGTTGCTAAAAGTCGTCAAATATTTTTTTAAATAGCTAAATTTGTTGCTAATGCTTAAAAAAAACAAATTGCTAGGGTAGTCTGAGAAGTTGTTAAATCTAGTAACAAAATTGCTAAGTTAGCAACACTGCAGGTTACTGCAGGCATTGCAGCATTTCCCGCTGAATGTTACAAACACTCCCCTTTCCCGTGACCTACAGCTAAAACAGCTGAAGCAAGCGTGAGGCTGCCTCCACTTGCAACACAGGCCCTCACATCTCAGACTTTCCTCCTGCTACTTCTAACCCCTCTTCCTTTTCAGTGGTCTCCAGCTCCCGTAGCATACGCTAGTGTGAGGCTGTCTCCGCTAGCTGTGCAGGCTGCACAGGCTCTCCAGCATTTTCCTCCAAATATCGCAAGCCCCCGTGGCTTACAGCTACAACAGCTGAAACAAGTGCGAAGCTGCTTCCACTTGCAACACAGGCCCTTACATCTCAGGCTTTTCCTCCTGTTACTTCTAATCCTTTTTCTTTTCAGTGGCCTCCAGCTCCCATAGCAGACGCTAGCGTGAGGTTGCCTCCGCTAGCTGTGCAGGCTACACAGGCTCTTCAGGATGTCACAAACCCCACTCCCTTCCCTTGACCTAGAGCAGCTGAAGGAAGCGTGAGGCTGTCTCCGCTTGCAACTCAGGCCAACACATCTCAGGCTTTTCCTCCTTTTACTAATAACCCCTTTTTTTATTTTCAGTGGCCTCCAGCTCCCATAGCAGACACTCGCCCAGAGGCCGATTTAAGCGTGAGACTGCCTTCGCTGACAGTTAACCTATCGGTAAGTTCCTCCCCTCGAACGCAGATGAGCCAATGGCAATCGAGTATCAGTTGCACGGGGAGCGGAACTTGGACATCTGTAGGTTTCAGCGCCATAGAGAAACATTGGAAGATCCGAAGCTCGCATCGGTTTGATGGTGTTTATGCTACAAAAATGGAAGAACAATGTGCCTGGGGTACTTGTAACACTGATTCCAGGTATCCTGAGAGAATAGGCAATATAATTTATTTTATTAGATTCCCTAAGCCCAAACAAAACAGAGCAAAATGTCCCTAAGCATTCAACCCCAATCCCAATGAAGACAAAAACTTTCATTTTCTGGTTGTCATACTCTCATTAAGTTACAATTTTCATCTGCTCAAGCAGAACGTTAATGTCAGCTTGCGTTTCAGCAAACCTAAATAGCGAACTGTTCTCACGTAAGTTACAGTGTAGGTCAAAAACACATAAACGAAGGTGTACATTTTAGTGCCTGACCATATTAAACTTGTTAAATGTACATTGATTTAATCGTACCCTGCGATACATGAACAGTGTTGATCCTACATGTTGTCATCCGTGATCGTGATGAAGATCGTAATATGAGACTTATCCCACTTGCATTGTGATCTGTAAACCCTTGCTACGAGTTACCCACCATATTTATTTTCAAATATTTTATATGTCCCTCCATGGAATATTTACTTACCACTTGAATCGTGGCCCTTCTGTGTCCAAAATTGTTCAAGAACATCTTGTGACAAGGTTTTGACACTGACAACTGTCATTGTAAGACAGTGAGCAGCTCCGTTTGTTTGTCCGAGGGAGCAACAGTAACTAAGGGAGGCAGGGCTTACCGACAGGTCAATTCTTGCCCATGCTCCTCTCCCTCACAGCTCTCTACTTAATTCAAAATAATGTCATCTTCCAGATCAATTTCCGGCTCCCCTCGAGCGTCAAGATGCAGCAGGCCATCAGCAAGCCTGGGCTGCGCCCCAGACTCGGCCACTCCTCACACTGTACTGCCTCCCTCCTCTTCTCAAACAATCACTGCGGCGCCTTCAGCTACTGCGCTGCACGCAACATCGCCCACTGGCATGGCTTTCCAACCTCCTATCCTTCCCACTCCCTTCCTTCTACCTCCGGCGGCAGACGCTAGCGTGAGGCTGCCTCCGCTAGCCGCTCAAGATCAGCCATCTTACTCTTACCCTTATGCTATTCATTTTCTCTATCAATGGCCAGGGGCTAATCCATGCGTGAGGCTGCCTCTGCAAATGGTTACGGCCCCTCCCTCATTTCCTTCTGCCTCTTCCTACATGCTTCCTCAAGCACCGTGGGCTGATCCGTGCGTGAGGCTGCCCCCGCAAACGGTTATGGCCCATCCTTATCTTCCTTCTAACCCTTCTCTCAAATCTAAACCTCAGTACACTTTATTCACAGCAGTCCCACTACCTACCCCACCGAATGCCGCCACTCTGGAACTACCCTCTGTGCCTTATACCATCAAGTCTCAGATTCTCGCAGAAATTCAGACCGCTGACTCCAGAGACGGACCCATCGCCAACCCAAGTACCTCACTATTCGCAACTCATATTCCCATAACTCATCCCTTAAAACCTCACCTCGATGCGTCACTCGACTCTATTCTCCAAGCAGTTTCAACCAGAACTATCCATTCATATCTAACAGCTTGGAGATGTTTCAAAGCTTTTCATCTCTCCTATAACCTGCAATTTCCCGATCTTTCTCTCCTCGCAATTACTTCATTTATTTCCTACCTGAAATCAGTGAAGATATTCTCCAAGCAGTTTCACCCAGAACTATCCATTCATATCTAACAGCTTGGAGATGTTTCAAAGCTTTTCATCTCTCCTATAACCTGCAATTTCCCGATCTTTCTCTCCTCGCAATTACTTCATTTATTTCCTACCTGAAATCAGTGAAGAACCTCCAAGCCGGATCTATTAAAGGTTACTTAACTCGTAGCATGGAATAGAATGCTGTCACCAATGATTTCATATTGCTGAATGCTTCTATTCTTCTATGCTTCTGTTGCTTTGCAATGATTTGTATCGTGAAAAGCGCTGTACAAATAAACTTGACTTGACTTCTATTTGAGTGTGCCGCTCGCCTGAGGCTGCGGCTGCGCTCACTGAGACAGACCGCTCTCACTATGAGAGTTTGTGTCTCGCTCAGCTTTGCTCGCGGTTCACCTTCATCAATGAAGGCGGCCCCGCTCCTCCCCTCATCTGCCATGGGCGGATCTAAGAAAATGCATGCAGCATTTTGATCGGCCGTGTATTTACACGTGAGGATCATCAGTACCCCTCATCTAACCGGTTTGATCATTTAGGCGGATTGAAAGAGAATGCTATCACTAATTATTTTTATCACTGACAGCTTCAGATTTAGTCGCGCTCACGGGGCTGGCTGCTCTCACTTTGAGAGCATTTATTCTAGCAAAGCATTTTTGAGAGGAAAAGGAAGGGATCAGTTCTCGCTGAGGAGCATTTTTGAGAGGAAAAGGAAGGGATCAGTTCTCGCTGAGGACAGAACTCCCTCAAAGAAAGCTCGTGCTCGCTCTCCATCCCTCTGTTAAACACCTGAGCGATGGATGTTCTATTCAAGCAAACTACTGCTGTGATAGCAGACCCACAAGAGCATTCTTCTCTCCTCACATCTGCGAATGCAAGTTCCCCGCCCATGTTTGGCGAACTTCTATTCAACAAAATGGAGCCTCTTGCCACACGGTTCATGGCCTGGCAGCCATTTCCGGTGTTTCAAGTTGGGTTCTAAATATACAGTAAACGAGGTTACTCGCTCTAGTTCGCTCGCAGGCCACCTCGTTTCAGAGGTATTATCCAGACTTCGGTACGGGACAATGAAGAACATGTTCTCCGGTCCAAAGTACAAGCACTGCATGCAAAAGGTGCTGTGGAAATGGTACCTCTAGCGAACAGCGAGTCAGGCTTTTCAGTCGCTACTTCCTTGTTCCAAAGAAGGATGGTGGGCTCAGATCTATTCTAGATCTCAGACATCTGAATCGCTCACTTATGAGATGGCCTTTCAGATGTTAACTTTGAAACAGATCCTCGCGCAGATTTGCCCCGAGGACTGGTCTCTAAAAGTGAATCTGAAAGATGCTTACTTTCACATCCACTCAGCCCCCCATCACAGACCGTTCTTGAGATTCGCATTCGAGGGAGTGGCCTATCAGTATGTAGTCCTTCCGTTTGGACTGTCTCTGGCCCCGCGCACTTTTACGAAGTGCATAGACGCAGCTCTTTCCTCTCTGAGACAGATGGGAATCCACATATTGAATTACTTTGACGATTGGCTGGTTCTAGCCAGATCAGAACGGGAATTGACCGCTCACAGAGAGCTGTTTTCTCAGCCACTTAGAGCACCTCAGGTTGATGATCAACCCACAGAAGGGTCATCTGTTACCCAGCCAGAAGGCTGTCTTTCTGGGAATGATTTTAGTTTCTGCCCAAATGCGGGCATGGATTACGCTTGAATGATCCCTGATTATTCAGCGATTAGTGGCATCTCTCAAACCGGGAATGATACATCCCTTCAAGGTTTTTTTAGAGGTTACTCTGCCTCATGACGGCCGCCGCCTCTGTCATACCTCTAGGCCTGCTCCACATGCAGACTCTTCAATTTGGGCTCAAAGCCCGTGTTCTATTCCGCGCCTGGCGCCTGGGATGGTTTTGCATCAGGGTAAACCACCGCTGTGACAGAGCTGTGGCCCCTCAACAACCTCTTGCCTGTTTCAAACAGGCGTGCAGTTAGGACTGACCACCAAAAGGAAGATGGTTACAACAGACGCCTCCAACTTGGGTTTGGGCGCCCTGTTGGAGGGCGATCCGGCGTTCGGCTCCTGGTCAGCCCCAGAGCAACGCCTGCATATCAACTGCCTAGAAATGTCAGTGTTTTTTTAGTCCTGAAAACCTTCCTGCCGGACTTCAGGGGGCACCATGTTTTAGTCCAGTCGGACAGCATGACGGTGGTAGTCTACATCAATCACCAAGGCGGTCTTAGGTCACCCCTTCCTTACAGGATGGCTCGTCGCCGCCTTCTTTGGGCACAAAACAAACTCCTCTCATTAAGGGCGGTTCATGTGCCAGGCAGACTGAACCTGGGTGCAGATATGCTGTCCAGAGGCAATGTAGCTCCAGGGGAATGGATGCTACATCCTCAAACGGTTCTGAAAATCTGGTCTGTCTGGAAGGCAGAGGTCAACCTCTTCGCCTCAGAAGACAACTCTTACTGCCCCACTTATTTCTCAATACAGCGAGACGCTCTGGCCCACGACTGGCCCAATCCTCACCTGTAAGCCTTTTCCCCAATCGCCCTGATCCTGGAGCCGGAGTTGTGGAGCCTTCATGAATGGAGCCTTGATGGGTGCTTGGCCTGCTTCTAGCGAGAGTGAGCAGTACCATTTTAGAGGCTAGAGTGCTGTCTACAAGACGCCTTTACAGCCAAAAATGGTTAATCTTCCTTAACTGGTGTTCTGCATGAAGTTTGGACCTGGCCTCATGTGACGTGTACCACGTGCTAACGTTTTTGCAAGAGCCGATGGATAACGGGCATGCCCCTTCCACGCTCAAAGTATATGTGGCAGCTATCGCAGCGAAGCATCGCAGCGATCTGATCTTTAAGTTCTTGAAGGGTGTCCAGAGGCTGAACACTCCTCGTCCTCAGACGGTGCCGTCACGGGACTTGTTAACAGTCCTGAAGGCCCTGCGAGGCCACCCTTTCGAGCTGCTTAGTTCGGCCGACTTGCGGCCCTTATCGCTTAAAATGGCCTTCCTCCTAGCTCTGGTGTCGATTAAGCGAGTGGGCGACTTGCAAGTGCTGTCAGTCAGCACTTCATGTCTTGAGTTCGGACCTAACGACTGTAAGGTGCTCTTGAATCAGAGCCCAGGGGCCTGATGTATAAACGTTGCGTATGCACAAAATGGGCATGGCAATGTGCGTACGCAATTTTCCACGCACATATCGGGATTTATAAAAAATAAACTAGGCGCAAATATGTGCGCACCGTACGGACAGTCTAGACCATGCGTACACACTCTTTTACTGGAGGGAGCGAAATAAGGAAGCAAACAGAATGATTTTAAGCACGCGGGACTCTGTGCCGGCATAAAATCTCTCAAGCCTGATTGCTCATAGTTCATTGTTTCTTCCTCCGAGGTAACAGGTAGGGGAGAAACTTGAGAGCGGGAGAGGCGGGGCTGCCTTCATTGAAGAAGGGGATCTGCGAGCAAAGCAGGGACAGTCTAATTTGTCTCAGTCTGTTATGTCCCCCTGCACTCCGAGCAGGGGGACATAAGAACTGTCAGAGGAATCCGTCAAGAGAAAGACACGGATTTACCAAGGGAAACCGTACCATGGAAAGAACATATAGGATTACCCAAGAGGAATAGTTCTTTCAGCAATCATTGGGGTGCAGAGTCCCACCCATGTAGAAATGTGAAATCATAAGACTGAATGTAGCACAGTCTAAAATCGCTGTCCGGGACCCCGATCAGGGGGACACAACAGGAACTGACAGATGAATCCAACCAGAAAAAGACATGGGTTTACAAAGAGAAAACCGCACTGTGGAAAAAAGGTACAGGTTTACGCAAGAGGAATCTCATGTATTGGGCGCCTGGACCAATACAAGGGGTGACAGATGACAAACAACACAAGTACTAGACCTGGCATCGGACTCCTCTGCTGAGTCAGAATGCCACAGAGTGCTGGAGGAACTCAACTAGGGTTCACTGAACGGGGAATTTACTGGAAGAAGACGAAAGTTACTCAACTTTTTTGAACTTACTCAAGCGGCTCAAAAGGAACTCTCTGTAGTCCAGACGGGGAAAGAGAACCTATATAGAGAATATATATATTAGGGCTGTCAGTCGATTAAAATGTTTTATCTAATTAATTACATGATGTGTTGATTAATTAATCTAATTAATCGCAAATTACATTTGTCTGTGAAAATACCCCCAAAATATTATTTAATGATATTTTTGTGTTAAATGAGAAAGTATTATGTACACATTATAAATAGTAGCTTTAGAAAAAAAAATTTGATTGAACATAAAAGTTATTACACATAAAAGTTTCACTTCTGCCAGCGCACAATCCCGATAAATATACACACAGTTTGTATATACAGTATTGAAGTGGACCATTCACGCTAACATAATCTGTTATTAAGTGTTAAGTGAACGTTTGGGGAACTGTTGGGGAAAACATTTGATGTGTAACATTATATTAGATCCATGCAATAGTCTTTATATATTTACATTTACATTTACATTTAGTCATTTAGCAGATGCTTTATCCAAAGCAACTGACAAATGAGGACAATGGAAGCAATCAAAATCAACAAAACAAGTCTCAGTTAGCCTAATGCAGTACACATAGCAAGGTTTTTTTATAATTATATAATAAACAAAAAGAAAACAGATAGAATAGAAAAGGAATAGAGCAAGCTGGTGTTAGAGGCATTTTTTATTTTTGTTAATTGTATAATAAATAAAAAGACAACAAATACAATACAAAAATAATAGAGAAGCTAGTGTTAGTATATAGGCCATCTGTCTCATTAATCTAACAATAAAAGAAAAGATCGCTGCTCTTGATTGAACTGCTTTTGTAGTTTTAATAATCAATATATTTGTAATGAACACACTGAAGTGATTTTAACATTTGATTATTTGTTTTTCTTACTTGAATGCTTTTGTTTAGATGTAAAATTAAAAAAAGTAATGCACTATGCCTATTTGTTTCTTTATTATACTGTTGTTGTGCAAATGTTCTAATTTTTAATAACAAAGATAAAATAAAAAATGGCTGTATTGTGATTATTAATAGACTATAGTAATTAATATTAAGAAAGGAAGTGGAGGAAGCAATGCAACATTGCTAGGTGATTTTGCTTTGGAACCTTCAGAAAACTTCAACTTGATTTTTCTCAGAACTGACCTTGCTGACTTTGTTGACTTCAAACGGGTGTAGCTCAGTTATTTTTCATCCGATTCCAACAAATCATATATCATATCAGCCTTTTAATGGAGAATGTGAGATTAAAAATAACTCATTTTTGAAAATTTGCACATTGTGACACATTTTGCCAGCACAGGTCACATTTATTTTCAAACTATTTTTTTGCATTTTAATCTGAAGTACAACATGCCCTAGACATTGTTTGAAAATATTTTGATTCTTTATTGTTCAGTCACACTTTACATTGGGGCTTCATTAGTTAACATTAGTTAATTCATTAGTTAACATAAATTGCCAAAGAAAAAATTCGTCTAAACATTCATTAATCTTAGGTATAGTTCTAATATTCAATAACACATTGTTAAAATCAAAAGTTGCAACTGTGTTATTTAATGAGCTAACCTGAACTAAGAGATGTATTTTTTTTAACAAAGATTAATTACTTCTGTAGCAAATGTAGCTATTGCTCATTGATGTTAATACATTAACTAAGGTTAACTAATGAGATCTTATTGTAAAATGATACCTCTTGGTCTTTATAATTCTTTTCCGCAATGTTCAGTTACTGTTGTCATAAGAAAAAAGTTATTAAACCTGTTGTACTGTATTATGACAACACTTTTTTTGCAACTAAATTTCAATATCGCGATAATACCGTATGCCATGATAAAAGCATTAGCAATTAACCCTTTGAGTGGTACAGTCCCACATATGGGATTTTTATGTCCGTGCCCCTGGGAGTACGGTCCCACATATGGGATTTAGAACGTTCGGTGATGTCACATAACTGCCAAATTCAAACTGTGGTTTTGCGCGTTGGCTGACGCTGAGCCAGAGAGAGACATGCACTGCGCTTGTCATATTATCAAAGTTCACTCTATTCTTCACCCAGTTCACCGGCCACTTATTACTTGTATTTTGGGAGAAATTGATGAATTCACGTGCTGTAAATCCGATTGACAGGACTCCAAGTCCAGAACTGTTGTGCGGCACAGATGGGGGACAGCCCCACTCGGGCTAGGATTTCCCGCTTGACCGCGCCGTAGACCGTACATTTGTAACTGATTAATTATAGTCTAAATAAAGAAAAAATCTTTATGTGTGTGTGTTATGTGAGCATGGTGTAGTTTGCTGGTCAGCCAGGCCGTTGGTGCCTGGCTTACCGGGGGTCATTTACGTCTCTTTGGAATATGTTTGAAGTTTGATGGGGAGACGAGAGTGGTGAAACTGTTTAGCATCTCCTTGATAGTGGGGGGAACCATTGGCAATTTAGCACCCATGTAAATGTAGAATGTGGGGCCATGTCTGTAATTTATATACAATTGTCAAAAGGCTAAAAGGGGTCTCTAAGACATAAAACCCCAATGATCATCTATGATTTTTAGCAGATGCTACACACACACACATATATATATATATATATATATAT